ACCATGAACAGGAATTTTAAAATTTAGAATGGCATTCTTTCTGCCAGGTGTTGGACATCAGGAAGACAGATGTTTGCTTGTAGACTCCCTTCGAGAGAATAGAGAGAAATTCATGGAGGTTGATTTGTCTGACCTACTGCAGATATCAGCTTCTCCATGCAGTTTCTGCTTGATAAGTACCTCTTACCTCCATTGACTTGAAAGGGAGTCTAGAGGTTGCTTGGGCAGACGAGTTCAGCAACTTGTGATGAATGGTTGGGTTTCTGTGTACTTGACAGCACTGCCCCTCTGCAGTAGCTTGCAAAAGCAGTCATGTTGTGAGGGAACAATGAATGAAAACATTACAAAACAGATTTTGTTTGTCTCATCACCTCTTGTAAACACTCCTCCTCTTCCACTCACAAAGATTTGGTATGTATGGATAAATTGCAAACCTGCTGACTGTCCTGCAGAAGTATTCTCTAGGCCAAAGCCATAAAATAAGAGCAAAGTGAGCGTGAAGTTTTGATTTTCCTCGGGAGCTGCAAGTAGTCCACTTATGCAGCGTGTGGTGACACAGAGCCAAGAGCTTCTCCATGTGCTGGGGTACAACTGGGCAGCAACCCACACATAGCCTGGAGCATGCTGCGCTCAGATAATGAGAGAATGAGCTAGGTTTCTTTACTGTCCTGGCAAAATTAATGAATTTCTGACAGAATTTAAAGAAAAGGAATGCATATCAGGCTTCACAGAAGAGGAAATGAGAAGGATTGTCTGTTCTGATCAGTCTGCTTTTTCATTATGTAAAAGTAATTCTAAATACAAGCAACAGCACTTGGCCATAAAAAGTCCTACGTGCTGAAGTGTTTATTCCCTTCCTACTTTACTTGATAAAATCCCTTTGATGCCCTTTTAAGATAATCCTATTTCTCCCTCCTTTGAGCAGTTTTTTGCCTTGATAGCAGAGATTTTGAAATAACATATTTGCAGGAAAAATGAAGGGATCACTTGAGATATACAAAGCTTCACTCTTAACTGTTAGAATAGGAGTAAAAGTACAGATTGATTTGTAATTGGTTATTCATCAGCAGTTTCTTATTGATTTAGAGAGCGGTTACAAGGAGATGTTTTAGCAATTTACCTTGGCTACTGGTTTGAATAACAACTCATTCATTTAACATGCAAATTGCCAGGATTTTTTTAATATATTTTCTTGATACAGTTTCCTGCTTATCAGCTGCCAGTCATTTGCATCTCAGGTTGTCATAGATACCAACAGCATCTCCAGGCCAGGCAAGAGCTGGCCTCTCACCATTTTGCTGCTCCGTGCACCGACTCCTTACTGCCAGGTGACCATCAGTCCCAGCTGTGCAGGAGCCATACCATAACTGGCACACTGCCTGCCACACGTCCCAAGGCTGGAAAGAGAACTCTCTTTCCATCACCTTTCCATTGTGCAACAATGACAGCGATTTATGAGGTTTCCACTGTCTCTCCTCTCTACTTTTGGTGTAAATGGGTTTGTTAGGAGCTCTTTAGGAGTACTATAGGTTCTCTAGGATTTTGAACATTGATTTTTGTATGCAGACATACATACATGTTTGCATGTTTTAGGGCTTTTGTGTGTGTGTGATTGTTTCATTTGTTTAATTGAAGGCACTATCATAATTCTTTACTTGCTCATTCTATTCTTCTCTGCTATTATTTCTTGTATTTAAAAAAAAAAAATCTGATAAAGTTGTAATTGAAACTGAGTAACAGTTGAGTGTTGATAATGGTTCTCTTTATAATTGTTAGAATTCTACCATGAGGCTCTTTAAAAAAAGTATGTAAAACTATTTTATGAAGTTTGTAGCATATAAGTCAATGTTCATTTTTTCTTTTTTACCCACTCTAGAAGCTCAGTTTGGGCTTTGAAATATCTGTTTGAAATCCAGGATAAGTGTAACAAACAAGAAAGGAGAAGTGGAGTAAAGATCCTGAACTGGTCACATCCACTTTAATGCCCTTATATCCCTTTATTTTTTTGGTGGATGATGAAAAGCATGCACAGCAAAAGCCCTGTCAGAAGGACTTGTACGAAGGCCTTTGAAAAACCTTCTGCTGTGAATTAAAGCTCATGGCTTCTCCGTACTCCACTGATAAGGGGTATAGAGTGTGCTTAGTGCTTGAGGGATAGGATAGGAGAGAGTCAAGGAGAAAGCTGTCCTATGGCTACTAAGTCCTGTATTTTTATTACAAAACCTCATTAAGATACAATGCAGTTTCACTAATATTTTCCACTTTGCTAACATCTTCGATCCAGAAATTTGAAGAAGAGATGCAACCTCAACCTAATTTACAGTCTTCCTACATTTGATTCTGCAAGATGTGTGCAGAAATCAAAGGAAAAGGGAGCATCAGAGCTTTGGCAAAGCTCACTGTCAGCAGCATCTCACACCCACAGCATGTGAGAAATACTACTCAGCCACTCCAGCTGCTGTGTCCAGTCTATAGGGCCTTAGCTCAGATGTTACTGTTCAGAAGTCTTAATTCCTATACACACCTATAAAAGTTAAAGCACTCTTCCTCAACTAGCAGATTGTAAGGCTGAGTGCTGCAGAGCTCTGGGAAACAGCTCGCCAAAAGTACAGACACATTCACTCTTCTCCTGGAGGAAGACACAGTCCAACGACTACAAACAAAATACCATCTCTCTGTCCTCTTTTTTTTTAACAAGTGTCCTTCATAAGTACAGTGTTCCCCATCCACCATACTGTATTTATTTCTGTACATATTGAAATTTCCAAACAGTCATTATGGAAATATTTTTGTTACCATTTCAGCTGAAAGAGTGAGCTGTAATTTAGAAACTTTGAGGAACTGTTCTCCAGCTGTGTTTTAGTTCATTTTCAGAAAAGAAGGGATTATGTTTATATATAGAAGTCTTTATGTAATTAATGTTAATTTGCACATGCTAATGCAGATGATTATTAGCAAAGTATTGTAGTTTTGTTCCTGCTGATTTTGACAGATGAGTTGAATAACATTCCACTGTAATCAATGCAACACAATTTGTTCCTAATTTTTGTAAGCATTAACAACTATTTTACTGGAGGGTTTTTAATGAAGCCAAAGCTATCCGCAAAAGGGCTTAATGTATTTTATTTTACATAGTGCTATTAGCCTGTACAATAACATTAAACATGACTTTCTAGTAACAAGTCGCTGTGAAAAATGACAACTACCGTTTTGGGGCAAAAAGTTTCAGTATACAGCAAGAGTGACCATTCCTCATGATCTCACAACTCCTGATCTCTCTCCTGCTTTCTGAATTAAGATAACAGTAGCAAAGATAGAGCTGAAACTGGCAAGCCTCAGAAAGCAGCTAAAATGGTTACTGCAAACAGGAAACAGCTTGCAGAAGCTTTAGGTAGGTGTTGTACATCTGCACCTGAAGGGCTGCACTTCCTGGGAGCAGAGGACGTGCAAAAAAACATGGACAGAGCTGGTAGGGAAGGAAAGGCCATCTCTGCCTCATGAACCTCCAGCAAATTGCAGGCTTTCCTCTTTGTATCCCTCAGTGGCTGTAGGCAGAAGTGACACTGACACTGAGCCACACATCTCTGAAGTCTGTACAGACACCAGGCTTCGTATCAGGGGCCAAGTGGGTCTGTTCTCCTGAGAGATTTTCCTGTTCAGATAAACTGGATTATTGGATCCTTTCATTTTCACAAGTTATTTTTTTTCCACATCTTTAATTCTTTAGGAATTTTTGGTAAATTGTTTGGTTACAGCTTTTGGAAATTTGTATGTGTATTTTTGAGCTTTAAACTTCTATCAGTCTTCCTCTGGAGGGGCTACATCAGTTCCTAGGGCTAAGGTATCATGAGCGCTCATCACTTCCAAAAAGGCAGCATGTCATATTACTTACCAAAGCAAACATGAAAACCAGAGGTGCTTGCTGTAAGTTACAGATGGAGCAAGACAAGTTCATGGTGCATATCCTGAGAGAATTGGGTGGAACTGGGTTTACTGAATAATGTTTAGTTTTCTTACTGACTCTTGTGTAGCTAGCACACATAAATTAATACATTAAGGGTCCTTTCCTTTCCGGGCAGCATCAGAAATGTTCACTGAGTTCTAATTTGTCAAGAATGTGCAATTATCTTATGGAGATAAAGGGCTGCAGCCCTCTCTTAGGGAGGGTAGAGCTGGCACAAGCACAAGTACCTATTTTGTCTATGGGATATTTACTTTTATTCGTGAGAAATAAGAGAGGCATATCAGCTTCAAAAACCATGAAGAAGGACAATGAAACTGTGAACCTTCTGGATCACAAGTCTTCTGAGGAGCAGCTGAGGGAGCTGGAATTGTTCAGTCTGGAGAAGAGAAGGCTCAGGGATAACATTATTGCTCTGTACAATGACCTGAAAGGAGGTGGTAGCAAAGTGAAGTCAGCTTCTTCTCCCAGGTAACAGCAATAGGACAAAAGGGAGCGGCCTCAAGTTGTGTCAGGTTCAGGTTGGATATTAGGGATAATTTCTTGTAATAAAGAGTGGTGAGGCAGTGGCACAGGCTGCCCAGAAAGGTGGTGGTATCACTGTCCCTGGAGGTATTCAAGAACTGTATGGATGTGGCACTGTGGGACAAAGTCAATGGGCATGGTGGGGATGCACTGATCATTGGACTACATGATCTTACTGGTCCTTTCCAACCTATGATTGTCTGAATTGGACACATCTATTCTGAAAACTGTTAGGGAGTAGTAAATGTGAAGCCATGAATTCATTATTTTTAGACAGAACCAGTCTGAAAAGAAAATTTTGATTAGGTACAATGTTTTTACAGAATTTGCCAAAGGCTTCTTCTGCCATTTGTATCTTGTAAGATTACATGAGATAGTATGACCCTACCTTATTTTGTTACAAGGTTGTATTTTGGTTAGCAGTAATTCACTGCAAGCCAACAAACAGAATGCTTCACTCACAACCCTTTTAAAACAGACTTGCTGGAAGATGACTCTGTGCTTTCATTCACAGGAGGAAACCGAGTGCCCTTCATCTCTCTCTGTTATCAAAGAGCATACAGCTGGTGAAACTTTCGAGGATGACTTCCTCCCACCTGATGATCTGTCTTCTGATGAAGAATACTATATTGAAGAGAGCAAAGCAGCTCAGTTCAAGAAATCAGGGATGAGGCGCATAGATGATATCAAAAAGGCATTTTCAAGAGAAAATATCCAAAAGACGAGGCAAAATTTTGGCAAGAAGGTAAATAGGCTTCGAACTAGAATCGTGACCCCTGAAAGGAGGGAGAGGATCAGGCAGTCAGGAGAGAGACTGAAACAATCTGGGATACGGATCAAGAAAACCATCTCACAGGCAGCCCCGACAAAGGAGACGTTCAAGATCCACAAAAAAAACAAAGAGCGAACGGTAGCTGAGGGCCAGGAGGGGAGTCAGGAGGCTGGTGTGCACATAGCCACCGAGCTCACGGCCGCTGAGCCCTTCACTGAGGAGATCTCCTATACAGAAGTGATCACGAAGGTAAAGAAAGACAAGAACAGCACACCAAGAGGTGCTGCCCAGACAGCTGAAAGAGGAGTGATGACGATCCCAGAAGTGGTGCTTAAGCAGGAAGGAAAAGAAGGAGGGGGTGGAGGTGATGATGTCCCCTTGCTAGACTTGAAGCAATCATTGTAAGGAATTGATGAACAAACACCCCATACTGTCCTCAGGCACAAGAGAGAACACAGGCTGTATGCCCTCAGTTTTAGAAAAATGTGTGAATTTTTGTTCTATCACAAAACGTGTATTGATGTTGTTCTATCATCTACGTGGGTATCTGTAGTGTTGTTGTCCTGACAGGAGCAAAGCCACACCAGCTGAACATAGGGACTGCCCCCAGAGAGTGCCAGCAGCCAGCATTAGCCCATATGGAACCCATGCGATGTGGCAAAGGGAGATGGAAATCTGCTCTGTTTTCAAGACTGAATTAGCATTCATTTAAACAGCCTAATTACTCTCTTCAGTTTTGTGTACAACATTATAAAAATGTCTTCCATAATCTCATACCAATTCTTTGCCTCAGAAAATGATAATGAAGCTATTACATCATATTAGCAGAAGGAAGAGCTATGAAAAATGTCCATTCAGCAGTATAAATCTTTTCATTTTAGGGCCCTCACTGCAACAGCAGGAGGAAGTTCCTGCCTTATTCGGGGTGGGACAAAACATAGAAAGAATAATAGTTTTTTTGCATTTCTTCTCAGTGGAAAAGATAAGATTCTGAAGTGCTTAAAGATTATTTCTAGCGTTCTGGAAGAGGAAGGATTGATGGGCTTAAGCAAGGTATTTCCTGCACTTATGGAGTAAGAGTAATAAAGCAGAGGACGTTAAATATGACATACCAGGAGGAAAAGAGAATGAGTTATATTCATGCTATGGAAAGACATGCTAGCAAGAAATGCAAGGGCATGGAAAAGTAAAAGAGGAATAAAATCAATGTGTAGGTTCTGGATAAATAGAGATAAAAACTAGAGTTTGTGTTTGTTCCCTCAAGATCTTTTTAAGATTTGTTACTCTATCCAGAGGATAATAGGGTTTATGAATGTAGTTGGCCAGACAAGAGAAGTGTTTTGTTTTCCATGACTGTGTGGTTTTTCTGAGCTTCACTGCAATTAAAATCTATTCTACAAAGCTGCTGAAGTAAAGGGCCATAACCCAGCTTTTTGTGTCCCACCACCATCACTATGGACAGCCACAGCCTCAGGGATTACGAGATGGACACCCTTTGGAGTATGGAATGCTGTTTATTTGCAACCCCCAGTGCCCTGAAACCAGATATGTTTGTAAACATGGCCACTATGCGGACATGAGTTGCTGGACTGTATTGCTCTCTTCATTCTGAAATGGCATTGCCTTCAAAGCGCTTACCTACAGCAACGTCAGGCGTTACTGTCTGTGCGAAACCTGTATGATAGTGCCAAAAGCTGTATCAGTGTGTTTAATATCTCAGATTCGTTTTAACAGCAGAGCGTAACTTGGTTATCTCTATACATTGTTTGAGGACTCCCTGTTGTTAATCTAGAATTTAAATATAATTAGTTTGATTTCAACTCTTCTGCCTTCCATTTCTTTCATTTAGTCCGGTGGACATCACATTTTAAGTGAAAGAGCTTTAGCAGTAATAACTAAGAAATGCTGACTGGCAAAGGTCAATGTTTTGCCATGTTAATGGCATCTATGGCATCTCAAAGCAAATTGAGCTGTCAGATTGAAAGGAGTAATGCCACTGCATGGAGGGACAGAATGGGAAGAGGGAGGGAAACAAGCAGAGGAAGATACCTCTTTCAACAGTCAGTGGTGCATCTTCACTGCATGGTGAGCACAAGTAGAAAGGGAAAGAGACGTTTCTATGATGGGATACATTGAAGGTTTTGTTTTTCAATAACTTCACAGAATTTTCTGGAAGCAGGTAGCCGTGGTCTTCTTCCTGTTGGGTACAGAACTGTCCCTGCCTGTAGTGGAACCCTGTACCATTGGTTCCGCAGTGGTATCACCTGCCTTCTGCTCTGTGAGATTTGAGGTCTTCCTGAATTGACAAAATAGGCATTAGTTGCTGAAATGAAAGGACCAAAGAAGCTGTCACTTTTTTTTTTTTTTTTTTCCTCTGCTTCAGGACAGAGTGCTAGAACCATGCTCCTATAGATTTTCTTTACACAGAGTTTAATTTTTTAATCTACTTGACAAAGAAAGCAAGCGACGCCGTCTCCATGGAGCACAACATATAAGCTCAGCTGCATGCATATTTTTAATGAGCAGTTCTAATTTCAGGTGTTCAAAGGATTTACTGTTTTCATAACAAGTAGCGAGTACTTCAGGTGTAACTCAACGTAAGCTCTTCATTTTAAGCTTTATCAGTGTCACTGGCATGAATTTTGCATGTACCAAGAGGTTAAAAGTAACACCATAGCCCCTCAAGGAGACAGGAAGTGGGAAGAACCCTACGCATTAAGTCCTCATTTTCTATACCACAGCACAGGCTTCCCCATTGGAAGTCTCTCTTACCTTCTTCGTGATTTGCAAGCCAAAGATCTTGAGGCCCAGTTCTTCACCTTTCTCATAAGCAGAATTCTCAGTGGAGTCAGCTGACACGCTGACACACAGCTGTGCTGCAGGAGGCATGGAGCAGATATTTGGAACAGGTGGTGTCACTGGGTAAAACCATCCCACCTCCACCCCATGTGAAGTAAGTTCTAAAGGAATCCTGCTCCAGCTGCTCGGTTTTCCAAGAAGAAACTTGGCCCTTTCTGCTTAATAGTGGGTAGGACTGCGAATATTGAACTTCCTCATGGACAGAACTCTGTGCCTGCTAATAGTAGATTGAAACTGAGTGTGGGGAAAGGTGAACTACCTTCTTAGATGGTGGCTGAAAAGAACAAGAAAATTGCAAGTGCTTACAAGGAGAAAAAAAAAGTGAGTAATGAAGCACTCACTGTTTCTTTCAGAACATCCAACAGCAATTTATTTTGCTTTGAATTTGTGCTAGTGAAAAAAAGCAAAACACATTTTTTGGCCAATAGCTGTCTATTAAGAGAAGCAGCAATCACCCTTCAATCATAGGGTAAACTGCAGAGGTGACAATACACAAAATAACACCAATCTTTTTAGGTGAATCTACTCCCAGAGATGGCTTCTGTATCCTCTACCTTTTAAAAATATATATATTATTTCTTTTTCTTCTTTTTTTTTTTTTTTTTTAACCTAGACTAATGCAAAATACAGCATAAAATGCAGTTGAGAGGTTTGAGGCCGCAGGACTCAAGGCAGTAACACCAATGTAGCAAATATTAGTTGGGCCAAAGTGATGTTTAGGCATGTTTACTCTAAAAATGGTTTCAGAACTTCTTCTCACTAAGAATTTGGTGTGTGCACATCTTCTTTCTAATGGGACATAGGTTTGGCAATGAGCTAGCATGCAAAAGCAGTAACTTGTGCAAAGATAAACTCACTTCTATTACCATTTCCATATACAAGAGACTATTCAAGGAAATAGCAGCATCCATCTGTAAAACCACTCAGCAAGTTTACAAATGCAAAAATCAAGTGCATTCACATATGTGCAGAAAAGGATGAAGTTTTATTATGAGTTTAACTCGCTTGTCATTACTGCTTTAATAATGCTATGCATGGTAAGTTTTTAACTACAAAGTTGATTTTAAAAAGAATCATAATGTACTGTGAATAAGACTTATACTAGGAAGAAAAGACAGCATCTACAAAAGAACCACCATAAATGTTAGAGCAGTTATCACAATCATAAGCATGTTTTCCCTAGCATTTCCTGTATGAGCAAACTAACTGAATGTATTCCTCCTCCACCAACAGCTGCTGTACCTGTTTCCCTCTCATGTTCCCAGGTTAAATACATTTAGGTGTATTCACTGTGAAGAGAGTAAATTGATCTATGTATGCTTAACACAATCTCTGTACCTTACTTGCTAATTCCCACACCACTCTGAAAATAACAATGGAATTCCTACTGGCTGCAAACTTATTTCCTAGGTGTCTTTTTTTTTTTTTAGAGCAATTTGTTGGTCCTCATTTTGAACTGCAGAGCAGTGCCACCCCCCGTAAAGTCCAGTGATCAGGATTTTGTGCTGTTTTCAGGTACAAAGAAAAAATGTATGTCAGATCTGTCCTCCGAGGCTTTTTGTAGACAGGACAGGAGTAGTACACATTGCCTTGTTGCTTCTTTGGGTCTTGTAGTGCTGTCATGCTGACAGCATACACATGGACTACAGGAAGACTTGTGAACAGCACCTGAAAATGTTAAAAGAGACACTGGGTTCAGTATTAGCAGGATAGGGTGTCCAAACTTCAGCATGCTGGCATTGGACTCGTTGGACTGCAGCAAAAACAGCAGCCCCTCAGCAGAAGCACACAGAAGAATCCAACCCCTGTGCTCATTACTACACTGACCCCAACCTGTCTTTAAGCCACTGGCAGCTCAGAGAGAGTGGACTTAAGGAACATTGGAAGGAACAGAAAGTAAGAGAAACCAGCAAAGCTGCAACATGGCAAAGGATGAAAAAGTGGCAGTATGGTTTTAGGAGGGCGTGAGACCATTGCTTTTTTTCCCCATCCTTTTCATCTCTAGCAGGTGTTCCCCATTCTTTCCCCACCTCCTGTTCCTTGAATGGCAAGGTTGGAGCTGCAGAGGCCCAGCTGCATTCATTAAGCCTCCCTGTTACACCTGTGCTGTTGGCAGTGGCATTCTAAAGGCCCAGGGTGCCTCCTGGGTTATATTCAAAAGAGATCCCTCTGGTTTTCTAGCAAGACACAGTACTCATTAGCACAGATAAAGGTCTCAAACCGACAGCTCTTGCTGATGATGCCAGAGTATCTGGGTAAACTCCATACTTGAAGGATGTCTTTTCATAAAGCAGGAAATGAGTACCATAAGCTGCCACTGGCAAGATCTGGTTTGGAAAACACTGCCCTCAGCCAGGTACAGAAGTGTTTTACCTACAGAGCACAATGGCCTCAGCTCCACTTCCAGGACAGAACAAAAGTTTACCAGCACACACAGTGGCAGCTTTCCCTGTACACTGACCAGAGCATGCAATCACTACTCCTTAACTAGGCTTTAAATGTGCTCAGTTGCCTCAGCAAAATGTAAATTCATACATGGATAACTGAGCAGAAGCCCAGAACTAATACCAATAATTCAAAAGCAGTGCCAGGGGCTTCTAGTCACTTAAACACTGTGATCAGAGCAGGCCTGGATTCTGAGAACAGTAACAGGACCCACTCTCTCAGTCCGAAGGATTCATGGGTTGCACTCATTCAGATGCAGTTCAGCGCCTGGTCTACTCTAGTGCAGTGCCTCCCAAACTCATCTTCTGACAGAGGCTTTTTGGTCTGTTGTGGTGGGTAAACACCCTGTCCTTTTCCCAGTCCTGCTATTATTTTACTCTCTTACAACCAGCTGTGAAACATATGCTGCAAGCACTCGGAATACTTTCTGGTTTTCTCTGAACACACCATTTACACTCCAGTTAGTGATGCCCCATCAGTCTTTACCTTTGGTGCTGACTCGACCAGCTTGCTGTTCCTGCGGTCCCAACCAGCCCCTTCCAGGATAAGGCCATATATATAGACCCCACCAATGTCAGCGGGAGGCGGGCCAGCCACATCTTCTTTCATCATCTTGGTCACCTCATTGTGCAAAACAACACTGTCGAGTGCCCATCCTTTTGCCAAATTTGAGCGTGTTGTCTCCTGCCTCATGGCAGTGAGGAATCCCTGAGGACAGCAAATATGACACAGGCTTTTGAAGAAGCTTGAATGCACCCATTGCCAACTGTTTTCCTGTACAATAGTGGCACAAGCAGTATAAACCTCAACCCACAGAATCTCACCTACATATAAAACTAATTTCAGTAGTGTAACTCCGGTGCTTTCCTACACTGTCCCAGTGTCAGGCGTTCATATACACTTGCTATGCTTGTGCTGGCAAATAAGTCACCAAAGTGGCCTATTTAATGTACAGGTCTAACTAATCTCACCTTACTCACCTACTTCACAAGACAAATGGAGAAGGGTTTACACAGCTAGCAAATAAATGTGATTTGTAAGATTTTAAATGCAAGTAATTGCTGAGGCACCAATAATACCATGTTTTCATGCGCTATATTACCTTTCGTTGTAGGAACACTGTAAAAATGCTTTTCAGTCAACAATTCCCACTGCATTTTACAGACCACGAAGCAAGTACAAACTGGGATCATGTAATTAACTACTGAAATGCCCCTGTCAACAGGGCAAAACATAGCTGCTGCTCAGTGCAAAGCTTCAATGCACTTACACAGCATATTGCTGCAGACACCAGCAAGATGAACACTCAGCATTTCAGCAATAGACACTGGAACTGGTTGCCCAGCCCAGTGAATGCCCCCTCCCTGAAAACATTGAAGGCCAGGCTGGATGAGATTTTGAGCAACCTGGTCTAGTGGGAGGTGTCCTACCTATAGCAGAGGGATTGAATTGTGTGATCTTAAAGATCCTTTCCAACCCAAACCATTCTGTGATTTTAAGAAACTCATTCTCTGTTATAAAGGAACAAGAGGGATTTATTGGGGGGAAAAGCTGGTAAAGTGCTTACAGTAAGAGTGGGGCTGATCTCTTTTCACTGGTGACAGGTGACAGGATGAGAGGAAATGGCCTTAAGTTGCATCAAGGGAAGTTCAGGTTGGATATCAGGAAAAACTTCTTTACAGAAAGGGTTGGTAAGCACTGGAATAGGATCCCCAGGGAGGTGGTTGAGTCACCATCCCTGGACTAAAAACTGTTTGGATCTGGTGCTCAGGGATATGATTTAGCAGAGGGTTGTTAGAGTTAGGGTAGTACGGTTAGGTTGCAGTTGGACTTGATGATCTTTAGAATCTTTTCCAACCTGAGCAATTCTGTGATTCTAAGAAATCAATAATAATGAGGGAATTTGTTAAAATTTTTAGTTTACTTTTATTCATCCAATCATAGTGGAAGCTGAAGGAAAGGAAAAGAAGCTACATGCAGCAACAGCAGCATCATGGTCTTGGTGTAGGGCCAGCATCCAACAGCTGAGCCTGGTGCTTCTGCTGCAGGCCTTACCACCTCCCAGCAACAAAGCACCCTTTCCATTATGAGATGACATTCATGAACTCGAATGTTTCAGTTAAGTGACATTGGTGGCTTCTCATTAATGCCATTTCAGGAACCCCAGGACAAGTATTGCAAAGAGCTTTTGTGATAGCAAAGATAATTGTAATTGCATTTGAAGTAGTTGAGAACTCTTGCACACCGCTAAGGGAGACAGGATTAAAGGCCAAGTTCTTCTATCAAAATGGCCATTAAATGAAAGCAGAATCCTTGTAGTTAATTTGTGGAATTTAAATTTGGGGAAGCATGATAGTACTGTTAGTTTAAAGCACACAGCATTCACTGCCAGAAGGCCCCACTGGGTCACCAGACCCAAATCTACTCAAATATGAAAGGGAGAAGAGCAGGAAGAAGACAGGACAGAACAGTGACTGCTCTAAGGGAATCAGTTCAAAGGCTCTGCGGAAATACAGATATAAAAGTAAGCTCAGATCTGTACGTTGTCTTCAGGGATAAGATTTAGTTAGCAGACTCTTCTTGCAGAGATGGCTGAACCTATATGTTCTCTGCAGTGGGACTTGAAACATTTATATTCCCATTAGAGTGAATCCCAGATGGTGTTAAAGCCTGCAGCTGAGACAAGGAGCCCCAGTTTTGATTTCTAGTATTGAAACCTCTTTTAATTTCTAGTATCATTGTCCTGTTTGGTTAGTTGCTTTTTCTTGTTGTTCTTGTTTTGTTTTTGATTTTTGAAGGGTTGCTTTTTGTTTTGCTTTTGGTTGGGTGGGCTTTTTGTTTGTTGTTGTTTCGTTTCTGAGTCAGGAGGTGAAAAAAAATTTTAAACTGCAGAAAATGATTTCTTCTTTCCCACACCTGCCTTTTCCCAAACATCTCCCTGGCCTACTCACTGAAGGCTGCTAAACATTGGATCCTTTGCCTTCTAACAACCCATGCATACTAACTCTGAACCTTCCAGAATCAGGCATCCATGGAAGTTGTGACAAGAAGTAAAGAAACCAATGTCTATTGTTTTCAAGATCACATAATCTCTTTCACCTTGCTTGTGGAGTTCCTTGTTTGTCACTTATTTTGTATTTCCTACAGAGAGCAAAATATTGCAGGGTTACTATGGAATCAAGCAGGCTCTGAGCAATGGAGCCATTGCACTTCATCTTCCTATTAGTATTCACATTACTTTGGCATCTCAGGCTCTCAGAAATAGGCTGGGGGTTCATTATGCTGAGCACTCTGCAACCAAAAAGACAGTTCTGCCTCATAGGGTTTAAAATCCATATAGGACAAGTGACAGCAGCTGGATACAGCAATGCAAACAAGGAAGCAATCCAGCACAATGAGGCAATGGGAAGGTAGAAATGGCAGATGCGTAGCACTGTGGGTTTGAGGACTACATTCAGGAGGCACTTTTTTTTGGTGATTGTCTTAGCCCAATGCAGAATTACAAAGGGAATCAGTTTTTCTTTCACACAGAAGCCTCAGCCTGCCCTCATTTGTATCACCATAAATAAAAATTAACTTCTGTGCAACCACTGAATTGATCCCAGTATATAACCAGTCCAAGGAAAGAAAAGTCTGGTCCTATTTTTTTTTCCTTATTGCCAGCGTGTTTCATTCTCCCAGTGCTATAAATCTACTTTATTGTCTTCTGTTACCCATGGCATTTACCCATTGACTATAAAGTGAGCAGTGAGATCTATGCAAGTAGGCAAATTACAAATTATTTAGGAGCTGCATTTCCTCTCCCAAATGAAAGGATTTTTTTCTGAGTTTCTCAGCTACAAACAAGCCATTAAATCATTAGAACCAGCACTTCATCACCTCAGTTTGCTTGAGAAGATGGAAATCAATTTTCTTAACATGTGAAATAATGGTTTTAAGAACAGCAACGTTATTAACAAAAATAATATTTAGCTAAATAGAAAATGTGTCTTCGTTCAGACAGATTTCTTGTAGAATGTTCCCATAGCCTGGGTTACAGAAAATAGAGACTACAGAAATAACCATCTGATTATGAAAGCTGTGATTGTCAGCACCAATGGTTGTTTAAGTCAGGTAAACACATCTTCTTCTGGACTTTTATTTCAATGCACAGTATGCATTTAGGGAGTTCTGGAATGATGTGTCATGAAGTGTTTAATTTTAGAATTTCTAGAGGCTTTCTCACTTACTGTGCTGTATTAAATCGTGACTTGTCTGGGGACATTTTACTCTGATTACTTGGCAGCTTTTTTGAGGAATCCAGACACATGGATCTGAAGGAAATACAGAATGCCACAACTGGGCTGGCCAAATTTCAGGACTGACACAACCCCAGACAGCAAAAACAACGCCAGCTAAAACAGTCAATATAGAATCTGTGTCAGCTCTTCCTAATCTGTAGAGCAAAAGAAAGTAGTAACAAAAGCCAAAGCCATCAGGATTTCATCCAACCTGATCATTGCAATGGTTACTTAGGAATATTTTAGTGTTCTTAACGAATCAAGTACAGAAGCATAATTGTTTCATTAAAAGCACTTCTACTCTCTTTCATACTTTTGCTTGGGAACCCTTTACTCAGGGATTTTATAAGCATGCTTCTGTGCTTTAAAGTTGTATGGGCAGACAGCTGACAGACAGGCTAGATGATATATGAGCATTTCCCAGCAGTAGCACTAAAGAATATTTGCCACTGTTGCTTTCCCTCTTCGAGGCAGCTGTTTCAGCTAGCTTTTGCATTGCCAACAAGTACTGAGATTAAAATACATCTTTAAAATAGCTCTTTGCTAAGGCTCCACAGCAACCTGTTGGCTGGATGCTCTCTCAATGACTCACTTCCACAATTCACAGTTCCCATAAACATCTGTGAATCACAAAAAGCTTTAATGAATGTGGTTATCTGTGCAGGGGATCTGCACATCACCAAACTATGTGCGCTTCACCTCTTTTAACTCTGCTCTCAGCTGTTCCCTTTTTTTTTCTTTTGTTTTTTGTTTGTTTGTTTTTCACTCTGTATCAATGTTTTATTTTGGGGTGCAGGGTAGGGGCTGTATGTTTTATAGGTCTCTCCAAATCAAGACTGGCATACTGGGGTGGTATAAATAACAAGCCTTCCATTTCAAGGAACTGATTTACAAGGATTGAGAGTGAAATCCAGATCCCTTTACCCTACGTCAAAGTTTTCAACCATATTTTGTTTTGTCCTTTAAGGGGTTTTCACACAATGAATGAAAAACAGATTACTGTAGCAGAGGAGAGGATAAAAACAGGAAATGTGGAAATGGGAGAAAAAATGCCATTTCTATCCTACAATCAAAACAATCAGAAGATCATTGAACCACAGAACAGTTTGGGTTGGAAGGGATCTCAAAGCCCTCCCAGCCCCACCCCGTGCCATGGGCAGGGCTGCCCCCCACCAGCTCAGCTGCCCAGGGCCCCATCCAGTCTGGCCTTGAGCAGGGATGGGGCATTCCATTATTTCATGGTGTCATTTTTTGTCAAGCAAAAAATTCATTAGATTTTGGACTTATGTTATATTTAAGCTAAAAATGTATTTAGATTATACTTAGGATGGTCATGATGGAGTTAGCTTGAAGTTCTTTCACTGTGTAATCTATTACATGTGAGCTGTGTCAATCCGGCTGACCTACCTGTGGATTAAAGAACCCTGTCATCCAGAACTGATTTGGTCGGCCATCCAGGAGCCAAGTGCTGAACTGCTGGTTTCTTTCAAGAAGCTCAGTAAACCAAAATCCTAAAGTTGTAGACTCCCAGGAAATCCGAAACCATAATTTGGGAATTCTGGCATCATACATACTATCCAATGCATCTCGCAGTTCTTCTGACATAATTATGGTTCCTGGAAGATAAGTAAAACATTCAGAATGAACTTTTCTCTGGCTCACAAAGGCAATTAAAATTTTCAAATGACATCCTGAGTCTAATAAACCCTCTTTTGTTGTCCCTTAATTGCACACCTGTTGCACCAGTCTTATCAGTGTGTAGTTAATTTGCACAAATTTATAAGACTCGATTCAAAGGAAATGTGACAAGATAAAAGATATTTCTTCTGTTATTTTGATCAGAAGTAAGGATTTTTTTAAACAACTCCTTCTTCACATACAATATTTATATTCATTATATTGACATTGCCTTTGGAATGTGATTAATTATTTAATACTTTTTAATATATTTTAATAGCTCCCAAATACATGATCAATGATAGAGATATACAGTATAACTCATCTATATCCTCAGCATGTACTGACAGTTATTATATTCATGAAATGCACTGCTATTAATGATAACTTTGTACACTTCCATTATCAAGATTGCCAGTAGGAAAAGAGAATGTAGAATAAAGCTAGAGGCAAGATTTATTTGTTTTTATATTTATTTCGGCAGTATATGCTCGTATTATCCATGCATAATACTGTTGTCTCCATTAAAATATTGGCAAATATGTTATTATTATATTACACTTGCCATTCCATGTGCCAGAAGTTCTTACATCTTACCGGTCTATTCCCAGCAGTACTGACAGCAAGCACATGGCTCATATGTGGGATAGGACAGGACAGGGTAGGATAGGATAGGACAGGATAGAATATCTTCTAAGAAACTAATCTGATAGCCTCCATTCTGATTATATGTTTCTGTAATATCAAGTGTTCACTACATCATCACGTACATAACTGTTGTTACTGCCAGAAGGGTTATTTGGTGACTGTAAAGATGAGCTGCACTTGCCCATACCAACATATCTGTATGGAAATGAGGCCTGTATTAAGCAGGCATTCCAAATACCTTGCTTTCGTGGCAGGTTCCCAGTTGAAGAGAAAGAGGAGAATATCCAGAAACCAAATATCAGCTTTTAATTTAGATGAATGCAGTCTAAACTCCTGTATAATCGTGTGCAAATCTGTTGCTTTGTAACTATATGGCAAATAGGCTTCATTTTTTTTCTAGCAGATAATCATAGAATCATTTAGGTTGGAAAAGGCCTTCAAGATCACTGAGTCCAACCATCTACCTGACATACCGAATCCCATCACAAAACTATGTCCCTTACTGCCACAAGTGACTTGCTTTTATTTACATGCATCTCTTTCTATACAGCAAATGCCATGAGAAAATGCCTTTTACAAAACCCCAAATATTAAAAAGTGCTGCAGCAGTACAGACTATAGCAAACACATCCAGCTATTCTGCATTCTCTGTAATGGCTCCATAGTCAGGTTTACATCTGTGTTCTGGGATATGTAAAAAGTCTTTTATAACACAGTTTGTAAACATCCTCATTTGGTATAAACCATCTCTAACAGAATGCTAAGCACAAGCATTTAAGGAAGAAGTCACTCTGTGTCATCTCTCCTTTGCCTACAAAAATGTAGTATTAGATTGTACACTTGATTAGCCCTCTGGAGGCAGAAAAAGTGAAAAACAAATCATGCAAAACATGTTGGCTTCAATTTCAGAGTAACCTTAGTGAGAGCAGAAAATAAGTGAACAGAGTTCCCTTCTCCTCAGAATCATTGCCATCTGAACTGAGAAATAACTCTTTCACCTTTGGTTCTTCCTTCTTTTCAGGCAAATAGAGCCAACTTTCTCCCAAAACAGGGGTTATGAGAGAGCCACATTTTCTTCCCAGTTCTAGGGAAGCCACTCTATGATTCAAATAGAACATGGTTCAAGAAGGCCAAGCACCCGGTGTTGCACTTGGATCAGGGCAATTCCAAACTTGAATAGAGACTGCAAGAAAAACTGACTGAAAGCAGCCCTGTGAAGAAGGATTTCGAGTTCCTGGTGGATGAAAAGCTGGATATGAGCCAGCAGCATGCACTTGCATCCTGGAAGGCCAACTATGGGCTGCGTCAAAAGAGGTGTGGCCAGCAGGGAGAGGGAAATGATCATTTCACTCTACTCTGCTCCTGCAAAGTTCCATCTGGAGTACTGCATCCAGGCCTGGGGCCCCCAGTACAAGAAAGATGCACTGTGGTTGGAGTAGGTCCAGAGAAGGGTCACAGAGATGGTCAGAAGGCTGGTGCATGTCTACTACAAAGAAACACTGAGGGAGCCTGTCTGTAGAAGAGAAGGCTCTGGGGAGACTTCATTGTGGCCTTCCAGTTCTTGAAGGAAGTTTGTAATCAGCAAGGAGACTGACATTTTTTGTGGGCAGATAGGGTAGATAGGACAAGAGGGAATGGTTTTTAACTAAAAGAAGTGAGATGTAGATTAGATATCAGGAGGAAATTTTTCATTCAGAGGTTTGTGAGACAGCGTAACAGGTTGCCCAGAAGAGCTGTGAATTCTCCATCACTGGAGGCATTCAAGGACAGGCTGGATGGGGCTCTGGTCTACTGGATGGCAACTGCACATGATAGGGAGGTTTGGAATAACTTGATCATTAAGGTCCCTTCTAATTCAAAGTAGTCTTTGATTCTATGAAGAGACTTGAGGAATGTTTATTCAATATAGGTTAGATGACACGTGGTTCAGGAAGCCATATGCTTCTCTGTTGAATCACATCTACAGATGAGCACAATAGTTGCTAACCCAGTAAGAGGAAGATTTATAAGAATGATCATCTGCAGTCTTGTTCCAGTGGTATTACCTCTGCTAACTGTTGCTTGGTTCTTTAATTTCCTTTAAAAATACAGTTGTACAGAATTTCTATATTGAGAGTTCTACAGTTTTGAATGCATTCTAAATATTACTGAGAGCTTCTGAAAAGGAAACTGTTTAGATATAATGTTGAATGTATATTTTGTTGAACTGATCTCAAAAGAAAAAAAAAACAAAAACCAATAAATGTAAACACCTAACCTAGGTGTTTCTGCTCTGGCAGGGGGATTGGACTAGATGATCTGTTGAGATCCCTTCCGATACCTGACATTTTGTGATTCTTGCAGGCAGACTGCAGCTTTTCAAGTATGTACATAAAACCAGTCTGCCTCAAAGTGTGGTGCAACCTCTCAGGATGGCTGCCCGTTATGACTCAGAGCAGCTGCTGAGAGCGTTAGGCCAAAGAGTTCTTGAGGATGAGGTATGTTCACAGCCCTGGCCTCGGTCATATAGTTGCATAAATATTCCTAGTGAGTGGGTGTCAGCCCTGGCAGTAGGCATACAGTGCTTGAATTTCAGCACTACAGCACACTGAATGACATCTGTGGGTGTCGGGATGCATTCCTGCAGCTATAATACTCTGATAAAAATAAAAATGTAAGAAATAAAGTAATTGTCAGAATTGAAATTGATGAGAAAAATAACAGTATCTTTTTGGAGAAGGGTGATAAATGCATTTGGAAAACTGTATTTGATAAACTGAGTAAGTAGTGCAACACCACATGCTTCTCACATTTAACTTCTCAGAAGATCAAAGCCCTGGTTACCCTATGAAGAGACTGAATGTCCTATGAACTTAATGTGACAGGCTGGAAAGTATTATGAATCAAGCCAACTGTTAGTAACCGAATTATTTTTGGTTTTACTTTACGGTATTCCCTCTCTTGAATGGAATAAATCTCATCTGAAATGGCTGATGGAAGGTCAGGTCAGTTAAAGATGTTAGGGCATTTTGATACTCCAAAACAATACTTACTGTAACTATACTGTCCACAGAGTACTTACAGCTTTGGAATTAGAATGTCCTTTCTTCATTGCCCTAAATTTATTAAGTCTTGCTTTCAAATCACATCTAAATTTAACCAATTGCTATATAGCAAATGAGTTCAATCAATCTACTCAGTTCTGAGTATTACTAGTTTTATTGTTAATTAAGTAGTCTGTTCTTTTAAACTGATCTGTATTTAGAGTGACTCATTCAATGGACGTAATGCTGTCTGTGGACTATATCAGGAATTGTATTATTTCACATAGTTGGTCCTTTCCACTACCACACCTATCTGAAAATGGTGGGATTTGTAAAGTTTGGATCTACATTTTCAATTTTACATTTAGGAAAATCTCTATCTGGATTAGAAACTATGATTTTCCCATACAAATGACCGGATAAAGTTAGAAATGAAAGATCTTAAACTCCAGTATGAACCAAAATAACCCTCAGTTCACAGACCGATTCTTTCCACAGGCACAGGATGTGAATCAAGAAAACTAGAATAATTATGCGTGATATAAATGAGATGAGAAGGAGTTAGCTTCTCCATCAAGTACAATTTGCCAGTGGCTGTCACAATTATAATAGGGTTGCAGACCATCCCTCGAGAACAATACTTCCTAGACAATGAATCTGGGCAGAGCACTGTCCTCTACAGCCAGTCTTAACAGTACACAGAGGAGAGAGCTCAGTGAGAGCATCAATCTGTTCTTGGCTATCACTGTAACAACTACAACAAGTTGGTCTTTTCAGCCTTTAATCCCCACTGAAGCCTATGTCCCAAGCCACTGGGTTTGTTAATGTCAGATCATTCTGGATGGACCAGACACTCACTCCTTGTCTCTGTCACCAAGCTGCAACTCCCTCTGTTGAATGTGTTGAGGAGAAAATCCCAATTTGCTCATAATGTTATAAGCCTTCTTCTATTTCTGCCTTATGGCATCAGCTAACTTGCTGGTGCTTTCCCCAAAGAATGCATTATCTATCATTCTACTACATACACAGATTAAAAAAAAAAAAAAAAAAAAAAAGCTGTTATATATTTTTTCCCATACCTAAAATCTGATCTTTTCTTTCCAAGTTGTAGTACATTCCTATGAGCAGACTGATCACTACCGCTATGCTGAAAGAAATCAATTTCTCTGCTTCAGACAATCTTTCCTATTTCCCTGTTTCTTCTTCTTGCAGCACTTGGGAACTTCAGCATTTGGAGATGCTTCCCAGGAAGCTCTCAAAGCTCATTT